TGGGACCTTTCAGTCTGCAGGCCGACACTATATCCATTGAGCCAAACGGTTTCGATTATTTTAGGGCTCTGAGTGTGCATGACTGCCATGCAAATCTCCCTTGAGCTTGCCAGGTTAGCATGTGGCTCCTTTCGTCCACAGTAATAATAAACCTTGGACTTTTTTCTTCTCTTAATCTGTCTCTGTTAATTTTATTATTAGCCCAGCAAGAACTTAGGTGAGAGGAAATTATTTTTTTTAGCTTAGCCCCACAATATGGATAATCTAATATGCTAGCAAAGGCTGTTTGAAAAAAGAATCACTTTTCAGTTGGTGTCTTGTTAACTCATGGCTAAGTCAGGCACTTCCAGTGCTAAGAATTTGTATCTCTAAGGTCTTTGTTCTCAGCTGACCTATAATTCTACAGTTCAGTATCTTCCTCTTTCCTCCTCCACTCCTGCCCCTCTGTCCTCCATTCTCCCTTCCACTCCCTTCTGCTTCCAGTTTCTCTTTTCTCTCCTTCCTTTTTTGAGGATAGTGCCTGCCAAAATTGGGAGTAGTTAGTGAGTAATCCAGTGACTCATGGTTTCAGGTGTTAAAACTATCTTCCTGCTGAAGCTGTGGGTTAGTTTTATTTGGAAGCTGAGGACTGGGTTCTGTCAGCTGAGCTCTTGCAGGGGAGTCATGCACTGGAAGGACATAGCCCAGGTAGGAAAGAAGTCCGATCAAAGCCTGGTTTATTTCTTTAGTTACTGTGTAGCGAAAACAACTCACATCTCAACTGATCATTTGTAAATAATTTTATTTTAAAGTTTGTTCGTTTTGCTTGCTTGTTTGTTTGTTTGTTTATTTGTTTGTTTTTTCCAGTTCTAAAGATTCTAATCTCTTCCCCTAACTGGTTTGGCTCCGTAGATAAAGGGTTGGCCTGTGGACTGAAGGGTCCCAGGTTCAGTTCTGGGCATTTATCTTGATTGCAGACATATCCCCAGTGGGGGGGGTGTGCAGGAGGCAGCTGATCGATGTTTCTCTCTTATTGATGTTTCTAGCTCTCTATCCCTCTCTCTTCCTCTCTGTAAAAAAAAAAAAAAAAAAAAAAAAAAATTATATATATATATATATATGTAAATAAAGATTCTAATCTCAAAGCCATATTTTCACCAGTATAGTAAATTTTTATCCTCCCAGAGTAATAGTTAAACTTGATTTCCATATCTGTATTTCTTTAGACAACAGATTACATATAAGTTGATATTAAATGAACAACAACATAAGAAAACTAAACCATACCTACACTGGTAGTCTTGGATCAAATTATATTTTGTATTTGCTTCCCTTTTATATTGTGATAGATTTTGAGCTATTAAACATATGTACATAGTCAGGGTCATAACATCTTTTATCAGTGGAGTAGGGTTCTCGGGGTACCGCTGAAATAAACATTTCTGGAGGCCCTCATGAGAGGGTGAGATATGATAGAAAGCTTTATTTCCTTGGAATTATACCCCTTGGTTTCCAAAGTCCCATTTCTCTTAATTTAAGCATAGAAGAAGTTTAGCTAGGGTTTCAGTAAAGTTAGAAGCAAAGCCAGTGTCTAGAGTTTCCTTTCCATGTTGGAGTCAGGCTAACTGCAGTCTATTCGTCCATTGTGTATGGGGTCCACATGGACCATGTGGGGGAATGCAAGGGAGCAGGAACAAAAGAGCCCCATAAGCCCAGAGTCACAGGAGTCCCAAAGAGCCAAGAGCACAAGAGAGCAAGTTTCTTTGTTCAGGGAATTAAGTGTCCAAATTTTGCTTGCAGTTGCCACCCCTTTTCTGGCCAACTATCTCTGTCCCCAGATGTGATTGACAGTCAAGTATCTTCCCTATGTTATCCCAACTTTACTGGGCATGTGACTATCTTCCCTTTGTCCAATCTTCTTCCCCCAGTGTTTTTGTGGGAAACATGCCTATAATACTTGGCCTTCCCTTTGCTCCTTTCCTATCCTATATAATGAAAAGCTAATATGCAAGTCAATGGAACGGCAGAACGACTGATCACCATGATGCGCACTGACCATCAGGGGAAATGCTCAACACAGGAGCTGTCCCCTGGTGGTCAGTGTGCTCCTACAGGGAGCCAGGCTCACAGCTGACGAGCACTAAGGACCCACCTCTAAGCACTAAGCCGGGCGCATGGCTCTGTGGCACTGCTAAAGACCCCTCAAGGGATGTCCGCCGAGGGGTCCCAAGCTGGGAGAAGGCACAGGCCTTGCTGAGGGAACCTCCTCTCTTTCCTTCCCCCCTCCCCGTGTACCGGGCCTCTAGTTATTAATAACTAGTTAATTACAATGGTATCAATATTACATACTGTAATTATGGGACCTGAAATCCCATTCAGAAAGAAAATCATACAGTGGGAACCTTGTACAACCTAAGAGAGTGAACCTAAGGCACTGAAGAGTTGAAACTCTTGGCAACTTGATTATCTGGAACTTTGGCTCATCATCCTCCCTTCTGCTACCTTCCTCTGGTCTTTACACTGCTTGTTAGCATGTACCTAAAAGATGAATAGGGCAGATGGAGGAAGCAATACAAACAGTTATTGTAAAAAAAAAAAAAAAGAGAGAGAGAGAGAGAGAGAGAGAGAGAGAGAGAGAGAGAGAAGAAGAAGAAGAAGAAGAAGAAGAAGAAGAAGAAGAAGAAGAAGAAGAAGAAGAAGAAGAAGAAGAAGAAGAAGAAATAAAAAGGAAAAAAAAATAATTATTGCACTAACCCCTAACTATTCTGGATGGTGTGTTTTTTTATTAGTGAAGTATTATATAATGTCATTTTATTATTCATTTTTATTTTAAATTATCTTTTGATTTTATTTAAAGGCACAATAAGCCGAAATTGGTTTGGCTTAGTGGATAGAGCATCAGCTTGCGGACTGAAAAGTCCCAGGTTCGATTCTGTTCAAGGGCATGTATCTTGGTTGCGGTCACACTCCCAGTAGGGTGTGTGCAAGAGGCAGCTGCTCAATGATTCTCTCTCATTGATGTTTCTAGCTCTCTATCCCTCTCTCTTTCTCTCTGTAAAAAATCAATAAAATATATATTTTTAAAATAAATAAAGGCACAATATTTCTTTTTGTTCATCTAGAAAAAAATAATATTGTTTTATTCATATCAATGGTAATATATTGAATTCATTAATGAACTCAGTGTGTTTTAGAGTTAGAAATCAGCATAAATTCTTTTTAAAAAATATATATATTTTATTGATTTTTTTTACAGAGAGGAAGAGAGAGGGATAGAGAGTTAGAAGCATCAATGAGAGAGAAACATCGATCAGCTGCCTCTTGCACACCCCCTACTGGGGATATGCCCCTAACCAAGGTAAATGCCCTTGACCGGAATCGAATCTGGGACTTTTCAGTCCGCAGGCCGACGCTCTATCCACTGAGCAAACCGGTTCGGCAGAAATCAGCATAAATTCTGTTCAGAAGGCAAACTAAGGAGATGCAACCAAGATTTTAAAAAAGAGAGAAGGAATGCATATCTGGACTGGCAAGTTAATTATTATGAGCATTTCAGAATTGGTATATTATTGTCAGCACAAAAATGTAATTTTTTAATATGAGAGTACCTAAATACAGTTCTTCCTAGCAAATTGCTGATGTTGACAGATTAGGGATGGGAAGCAAGGAAAAGGGTATGCTCTCAAGTCTCCAAGATGGTAAATTTGTAATTTGACATGCTTACTGGGAATTTTATTACCTGGAGTGTTTATTTAATTGTGTATTTCTGTTATTGTTCAATAGAGAACAATTTCTAAAACCTTTCTGCACAGGCCCTACACTAATTCACCTCCACAAGCCATATCCAGTGGCACCTTCTTAAAAGACTTTCTCCTGAGTTAGATAAACTATTAATAATCTATCCCCTGCTTTGGCTGTCAGTTTTGAAGTATGATAGTTTAAGTTTTCAGATCTGAGCACTTGTCTTTTTCTTCAGCTCTTTTTAATGGTTGCTTACCTGTATGAAAGTATAGTCATTGTGTGTGTGTTTTGGAGTCTCTTGCCTAATAAAAATTGTTTCCTGGTTAGAACTCATAGAATTTGGCCTCCAAAAGGTCTGAACTTAGTCACTGACTTTTTAAATTACTTACCTTACTGTCCCTGTCTCTAATGTTCACATAATGTTGCCCAAGTTTATCACAGTTGCTTGTGTCTTGGAATTTTATCTCTCAAGAGTATACACATTCATCCTTACCACTTTCAGCAGTACTTCTCAATCTTACCTGCACCTGTCTCCAGCTACCAATAAGTGTCCCTATTAAAATGGAAAGAATGATTCCATTGCCCATGACATTATTTGAACAACAACAAAAAAAATACTGTGATAAAAATTGGATTTTTATATCTAGCCAGTAAAATACTTGTTCTCACCAACATTTTCAGATGACTGTAATCTTTAAACATGGATTGGAATTACTGTGATGTCTGAATACTAAAATGACTTTTATATAATTAAATTGAAATGCAGATGTACCTTGTTTTACATAGATATGCTTTTAAACAAAAGTATGTGTGAAGAATGTAAATTAACTTATGCTTTAAACCCACTAAAGAGCTTTATTATTTCAAGATATACCGTGCCCTAACCGGTTTGACTCAGTGGATAGAGCGTCGGCCTTTGGACTCAAGGGTCCCAGGTTTGATTCCAGTCAAGGGCATGTACCTTGGTTTTGGGTACATTCCCAGTAGGAGGTATGCAGGAGGCAACTGATCGATGATTCTCTCTCATCGATGTTTCTAACTCCCTCTCCCTCTCCCTTCCTCTCTGTAGAAAAATCAATAAAATATATTATTTAAAAAAAAAAGATATACCATGCTAAATCTTCTAACAAAGGGAAAATACCCCGATTTACATTTTATGGAAATCTTTTTTAATTTATTTGTTTTGCTTAAAGCAAAGTATACTTGATTGGCCTGTTGATTCTGGAAAAGTAGTCTTCTTTGGGGCTCCTTTTAACATCCACTTTTTGCTTTGATGCTAGATCGAGCGGTTGGAAGTAAGCAGCCTCGCCCAGACTTCCAGTGCAGTGGCCTCCAGTACTGATGGCAGCATCCACACAGACTCTGTGGATGGAACACCAGACCCTCAGCGTACAAAGGCTGCTATCGCTCACCTGCAGCAGAAGATCCTGAAGCTCACTGAACAAATCAAGATTGCACAAACAGCCCGGGATGACAATGTTGCTGAGTATTTAAAGCTTGCCAACAGCGCAGATAAGCAGCAGGCTGCTCGCATCAAGCAGGTCTTCGAGAAGAAGAACCAGAAATCTGCCCAAACCATCCTCCAGCTACAAAAGAAGCTTGAGCATTACCATAGGAAGCTCCGAGAAGTGGAGCAGAATGGGATCCCTCGGCAGCCAAAGGATGTCTTCAGGGACATGCACCAGGGTTTAAAGGATGTGGGAGCGAAGGTGACTGGCTTCAGGGAAGGGGTGGTAGACAGTGTCAAAGGCGGCCTTTCCAGCTTCTCCCAGGCAACGCATTCAGCAGCAGGGGCAGTGGTCTCAAAGCCCAGAGAGATCGCTTCATTAATTCGGAATAAATTTGGCAGTGCAGACAACATCCCTAACCTGAAGGACTCTTTAGAAGAAGGTCAGGTGGATGATGGGAAGGCTTTGGGAGTGATTTCAAACTTTCAGTCGAGCCCAAAATATGGTAGTGAAGAAGATTGTTCTAGTGCCACTTCAGGCTCAGTAGGAGCCAACAGCACCACTGGAGGCATCGCTATCGGAGCATCTAGCTCCAAAACAAACACTCTGGACATGCAGAGCTCAGGATTTGATGCACTATTACATGAGATCCAGGAGATCCGAGAAACCCAGGCCAGGCTAGAGGAATCCTTTGAGACCCTCAAGGAACATTATCAGAGGGACTATTCATTAATAATGCAGGCCTTGCAGGAAGAGCGATATAGGTAAGTTAATATGGAATTAAAATCTGAAATTACTTAAGTTTGGGGTTCCCTTTTCTTTGGCTATTGCGGAGGGTGTGTGTGGGGGGAGGAGGGCACACGCGGAGACTGGCTTTTAAAGATCTTTAATAGAGTGTCTTTCTCTGGAATGTCCAGAGCACTTTAGATATGTAATATGATGTCTGCATGAGTTCCTATCATAGAATGCAAATGACAGACACAGCAAAATTAAATAACTCCCAAGGTTACACACCTGTGAAGCATTGTAGTTGAGAGGTAATGATTACTGTAGCTCTCCAGTCTTCCATTCTAGTGTAAGACTTTCAAATGAAGTTCAAGGTTTCTAAGGCATTTCATCTATTTATTTATAATTACAAAATCACAAGTCATTGCAGCCTGTTTGTATACTGCATTGAATTCAAAAGACTTGTTATAACCCCCAACTCTGTATAAATCAAAGACATAGCTCGTCCAAAATATAATGAACCTGTAGCTATTGGGGCTTAAACATATTTATCCTGGCATTTGGTCTAGAAAGATTAGACTGGAAATAAATTCAGATAAGCATGTCTGTTACCTTTACTATGATTGGCAAACATTTGAATGGGAATGAACTTAAACATGTGAAATGGTTCTGCAATAGTTAGAGAATTCTCAGAGGGCTAAATGCTTTGAGTTATAATCTGTGCTAAAGGTCGAAGCTAATAGCTTTTTTGTTTCATATTACACTCTGTATTCATATTAGACCATTCTTAGTTGATCTTCAAATTTTGTGTCTTTTCCTCTTGTTTCCATCACATGCAGTTAGAAAATAATGTCTACCATGTAGTACTTAATCAGATCCAAAGTTTGTCAACCAGAGACAAACCACCTCACTGATACTGATTAAGAGCTTATATCATGGGAGCCACAGGTTGAGTTAGGCCTTGAGAGATATTTGTTCTGGCTTTGTTACAGTTTCTAATGAGAAGGAAACCGCAGTAATTCTACTATATCAAAGGTTGAACGGGCTATCTTTTAAGGTCCCTTTCACCTTTTTTTAAGTGATTTTTTAAAAGTTTGCTTTTATGAGATAATCTCAGGGCCTGAATAAATTATTCATGTGGCCGAAACAGGTTTGGCTCAATGAATAGAGCGTCAGCCTGCGGACTGAAGGGTCCCAGGTTCGATTCCGGTCAAGGGCATGTACCTTGGTTGCGGGCACATCCCCAGTAAGGGGTGTGCAAGAGGCAGCTAATAGATGATTCTCTCTCATCGATGTTTCTAACTATCCCTCTCTCTTCCTCTCTATAAAAAAAAATCAATAAAATATCTTTTTTTAAATGTTGAAAATTTTTTAAAAAAAGAAGGCAAAAACAATTTAAAAAAAATTATTGATGTGAATCAGTAAGATGAGTAAAGAGTTACAGTAGCAAACTCTTTCACATGGTGAAAACTCTAGTCAGTAATTCAATCCTGTCTGTTATTTTCACTCTTCCATCCTTTAATTCAGACTTAAAACTTTGTGAGAAAAAAAAGGAAAGGAAAGGAGATGGGAGGAGAGGGAAAGAAAGAGAAGAGGAGGGGTGAAAGAGAAAGGAAGTTCTAAAAGCAAATACATTACCATTCTTAATCCATTGTTTTATGTATTCTTTAATATATTTAGAAGACAATATATAAAGCAATGAGCAATCTAACAAATATTCAAATAGACTCAAAATGAAACACCTGGTCCTTTGTACCATATTATATTTAAGTCTTACATTCAAATTCTTGTTCTGTCACTTACTAATCTTGAAAATTGGGCAAAGTTTTTACTGTTCCTAAGTTCTAGTTTCCACATCTCTAACATGGGAAAAATAATAATCCTTCATAAGGTTACTGTGACATTTAAATGAAATAATTTATAAAGCACATAGCTTGGTGCCTAGCCCAGTAAATACTTTGTTGATGTTAAGGAGCAGCTGCTACTGCTGCTATTAAAATATACCCCTTTGAACCATGGAGATCTGGGTGTTCCATAGTTAATTGCTCAAAAAACCAACTGCCTGCTTTGACCCTTTTACTTATTTATTTTTTTTGTTTTTTTTTTTCTTTCTTGACCCTCTTATTTTAAATGGATATCAAAACATGCCAGTTTTTAAATTCTTCCAGAGTTTAAAAATTATATATAGGGTTGTTACGTCTTCAAGTCAGATGTAGGGTCAATATGAGAAAATCAGAGAGGAAAAACAGGTCTCCCAAGACCCACCTGTGTATACATTTAAAATAATTCAGAGAAAGCCAGGACCGGTTTGGCTCAATGGATAGAGCGTCGTCTTGGGGACTGAAAGGTCCCGGGTTCGATTCCGGTCAAGGGCATGTACCTTGGTTGCGGGCACATCCCCAGTAGGTGGTGAGCAAGAGGCAGCTAATCGATGACTCTCTCTCATTGATGTTTCTAACTGTCTCTCTCCCTTCCTCTCTGTACAAAATCAATAAAATATATTTAAAATAAATAAATAAATAAAATAATTCAGAGACAGGATAGAACTTCTGCTCTGTCTCCAGTCTACCTCTTGCCTAGACAAAAAGCTAAGCCTCTGGAAGAGCAGAAATAGAAATTAGAAGAGAGAGACTCCTGCAGGCTTGTCTTTTTGTCTGAGAAAGAAATAGCCTCGGGATGAACTCAAGGAACACTTTTCTAACCAAGAACCAATTAATGCACACATGGCTGCTCTAGATGCATTTCTGGTTATTTTCAATGCTTTCATTTATTTTACTAACTAGAGGCCTGGTGCATGAAATTTGTGCACTTGAGAGGTCCCTCAGCCTAGTCTGCACTCTCTCGCAGAGCGGGAGCACTCAGGGGATGTTCAACTGACAGCTTAGACCCACTCTCCTAAGCGTTAGTTGGACATCCTTAGAGCTACTGCTGCACTCAGCTTTTGGCTGAGTGGCGCTCCCTCTGTGGGAGCACACTGACCACCAAAGGGAAGCTCCTGCATAGAGCATCTGCCCCCTGGTGGTCAGTGCAAGTCATAGCATTGGTTCTGCCATTTGGTTAATTTGCATATTGGCCTTTTATTATATAAGATTAGAGGCCTGGTGCACAAAATTCGTGTGAGAGTAGGCCTTCATTTTCCTGGCTGCTGGCACCGGCTTTCCTCTGGTACCCAGGACCCAGGCTTCCCTCAAAGCCCCGGCTTCATCCAGAAGGTCATCTGGAAGGATGTCAGGTCTATTTAGCTTATTATACTTTTATTATTATAGATTATCACTGTTGACAGGAGGAAGGTCATACACAGAATTGCTACTTATTATTTTAAGTAATGGGGGAGGAAGACACTATCACTGATAGCATTTGCTAACCTCCTATGATTCGCATAATGCTAGGCGCTTTACATATGTTTGCTAATCCTCACAATAGCCCTGCAGGTGAGTTGTACTATCCTTATTTTACAAATAAAGATATTGGCCTTCATGGGGTTTTAAAATTTGCCAGAGGTAGGTCACTTGGTAAGTGGTAAAGCCAGGAATCAAACCCAGTTTTATCTGATTTCAAAGCCAGTGTTATTTCCACATCAGGCCAGTTCTTTTGTTTTGTTTTCCAGCTTAAAACTAAAACCTCTATAATTAAGACTACTTTATAGTCTAGCTCTAAGAAACCTGGACTTCATTGGCAATGGGTATTGGACCTTTCCCAGGTTTCACTAAAGGTCGAATCACTATTTTTAACATATTTTGGAAAATTCTGTAATTGCATAAGCTCTGGAAAGTTTTCTCAAGCTAATACAACAGTGTAGATATGTACTAGAGGAACGTATTAGAAACCTTCATTCCCATCCTTATTTCCCCTTTTCAGAGTTCCTTTTCAATGTTACTTAATGTGCTTCCCATTGCTCTCTACCTCAGTGACTAGTGCCAAGTCAGAATTTTTGCTCAAGATCATCTACTTAACTCTGGAAAAATCAGAAGCATCAAGGAGCCTGAAGAGTACAGCCTCTTTCTTTCTCTATCCTCTCTCTCAATTTCTCTCTCTCTTTCCAACCATGTAATTGTGCCATGACTCAATAGTACTTTAGCCACCCACATGACTTAGTCCTGGAAGCCATTGTAGCAGAGCTTGGATCTAAACTCCTCTCCAACTTTTGACTAGTAGTTTAGACTTTGAATTTTGCATTGGGCACTCAGATATGAGTGAGATTATCTACTTTTGGAAAGGAAGGAGTCAAGGTTTAGTCAGGTTTTTAGTGATGGGATCTGTACTGACTTCAGGTTCTTCATGTCTTGCTAGTAGTCTTTTCATCCCATTTAAGTATTATTGTATCCGAAACCGGTTTGGCTCAGTGGATAGAGCGTTGGCCTGCAGACTGAAAGGTCCCAGGTTCGATTCTGGTCAAGGGCATGTACCTTGGTTGCAGGCACATCCCCAGTAGGGGTTGTGCAAGAGGCAGCTGATCGATGATTCTCTCTCATCGATGTTTCTAACTCTCTATCCCTCTCTCTTCCTCTCTGTAAAAACTCAATTAAAAAATATTTTTTTAAAAAGGTATTATTGTAGATCTGTTAGTAGCAACGGAGTATTCACTTAGTACTTCACAGATAAATGGAGCCCTTAGATACTTAGTTTAATCTTGTTCTACATATGAGTACAATGAGCCCTAGAAAGATAAAGTGACTTTTGCCAGGTCACACAGTAAAACAATTTAACTTATATTTAATTTGCTATTTAAAAACTGGAAGACCAGTCATTTCCTTAGTATAATATATTAATGAGTTATTATAGGAATTCAGCTGTGGCAAAATGTGTTAAAAACAGGAGAGAACTAGGAAAACAACTTACAGACAATTTTACAGGTTCCTTTTGTAGTTTTTCCCCAGGGGATCTGACACAGAATCCTACTCATCTACTGCCTGTATAAAGCAATATCATGTAGGGCAGAGATGTTGATGAAAGCTTCTATTTTAAGGGGATTGTTGTGCTTTAGAAATTGACTTCTGAAATTGTATTAAGCCCAGAGATATTTTAAATTGCACTGAGT